GCAGCCTAGGAGCTGTGACTAGAGGTGGGGGGAGCTATCGCACCCCCCCGGCTAGAAATGGTTTCCCTTCCTGTATATGCCGGGTTTCTCGTTCGGTACAACCTGTCCCCCCACCCCCCCTTACTATACAAATGTATTCCGGCACCCTGATTTGCAGCCCAACTTACCAGGCTGCTGTGGGTAAAGCTACTCTCTTTGGCCCAGCCAGCAGTAGAGAAGCACAGAGCGCAACCCTTTTAAAGATTATTTGTAGTACTTTTGCTGAGATCCTTTATACTTAAGAACTGACAAAGAATGGGGCCCCATTGTGCAAGGCATTGCCCAAGATAGTCTGTGTTCGGAAGTGTTTACAACCTAACTAGAAAACACAGATACAGTGGGGTGAGAGGCACATGCTGGGCATAGGCAGCCTTTGACATGTGCATGATTATGGTAATCCACTGGCAGACCACGAGACATTTTCTTTACATTGACTATGCACTCCTGTAGCACCTATTGGCCAGGAACAGCAAAGCGTGGGCACTGGGAGCTGTGGGGTACCATGCCCAGGCACAGTCAACATACACCAAATGGCACATAGTCTGCCAGTGGATTACCCTGATGAATTGCGTGTCGAAGGTTGCCGGCCCCTGAAGTATACTATACTCACAGAATGGCTAATGCACACTAGTTGTTCAGTTTACCGCCTCTGCTTCAGCCAACCTATGAAGCATCAGCTGCACAGTAAGGTTGGAGAGTGGGATGTCAAGAATATAGAATCATAGAACTGTAGTACCGAAAGGGCCCCCACTAGGCCATCTTGTCCAATTCCTTGCACTCAAAGCAGACCAAAGTAATAACTTAACCATTCCCTACAGACATGTGTCTAACATGTTCTTAAAAATCTTCCTTGACAAAGATTCCACAGCTTTCCTAGGCAATTTGTTCCAGTTCTTAACTACCCTGACAATGAGTTAATTTTCCTTAGGCTTTGTCTATACAACATAATTTTTAGTGACACAGGCATGTTGCTAAAAGTCAGTAGTGTAAAGGCTGATTGTTAGCATTTTTGCTGACAAAATACTTCCACCCCGTATTCATGTGGTTGACAGGAGTGCTCTCCTGTCATTTACACTGTTACTTGTCTTGGCAAAACTTCTGTTGGGGAGCAGGGTTTATTTAAGCTCCTATGAACAACAAACATTTGTCTTCTGCCTAGACCTCCCTTGCTATAATTTAAGCCAATTGCTTCTTGTCCTGGTCTCAGAGGTTCAAAACAATTTTGCATGTCGTCCTTGTAACAGCCTTTTGTGTACTTGGAAACTGCTATGCCTTCCTCTCCCTGCTCTTTTCTCCGAACTAAACAAACCTAGTTTTTTTTTTTCAATCTTTCCTCATAGGTCATGTTTCCTAGACCTATAATAATTTTTGTTATTCTCCTCTGGACTCTCTCCAATTTGTCCATGTTTTTCTGAAATTTATCTCCTGGAACTGGACACCACAGTTGAGGCATTATCAGCATGGAATAGAGTGGAAGAATTACTTTTAGTGTCTTGCTTACAACAGTTCTTCTGATACATCCCAGAATGATGTTTGTTTTTACAATGGTGTTACACTCTAGACTCTCATTTAGTTTATCATTCATTAAGTAGCCCCTATATTCCTTTCTACAGTCTTCTACTTGTCGTCTTAGGCAAGTCATTGCCGAAGTGCTGAAGGAGAAAAGACAGGACTGAGTTGGATTTCCCTCAGAGCCACAAATTGTTTCTTTCTTTATCATGCTCTTTCCACACAGTACCAATCCACCCTCATCATCCTTCACAGGGAGAGCTCTGGAGACCAGAGGGTTAAGCTGATGTTTCATTCTATTCATTCAGTGTACGTCTATACAGCAGTATTCGAAATAACTAACGTTATTCTGAAATAACTGGGGGCTGTGTCTACACTGGGCCACTTATTCCAGAAAAGCAGTGACGATTTACTGTAAGAAATCAGCTGCTTTTCCGGAAAAACTATGCTGCTCCCGCTCGGGCAAAAGTCCTTTTTCCGGAAAACTGTTCAGGAAAAGGGCCAGTGTAGACAGCACAGTAGTCTGTTCCGCAAAAAAGCCTCGATCGTGAAAAAGACGATCGGGGCTTTTTTCCGGAAAAGCGCGACATTGGCCACGGACGCTTTTCCGGGAAAAGGGCTTTTCCGGAAAAGCATCCTGCCAATGTAGACGCTCTTTTTCCAGAAATACTTATAACGGAAAACTGTTCCGTTTTAAGCATTTCCGGAAAAAGGTGCCAGTGTAGAAACAGCCATAGTGTGTGTCTACACTACAAGCCTTCATTTCAAAATAATGTCGAGCTGGAGGACTTCTTACTCTGACTCCTGGTAACCCTCATTTCACAAGGAGTAAGGAAAGTCGAAGGAAGAGTGTTCTTCCTTCAATTTCCTGCTGTGTAGACAACACCCAAAGCTGACTTAAGCTATTTCAACTTAAGTTACGCAATTGACATAGCTGAAGTTGCGTAGTTCAATTCAACATTAGCCCTGCTGTGTAGATGTACCCACAGTGACCACTAGGAAACTTCCTCCATGGAGTCCCAGTTGTAACAGAATACAACCTTTTTGTTTGTTTGTCAAAATGAACAGGGCAGATTTTTGCTATTTTAAAAAGTAGTCTTCAAGTATACTAGGATACTGTGATTGATAATCTAATCATAGACACGTTAGAACATATCACATTGAGTGTTTCAGAAAAAGTTAATTTTATGTTTTACTTTCAGAACTGGACACTGGTTCCTGACTTTACCCATCATGCCCACACTGCCTCATTATCAGCAGTAGCTGTGAATAACAGATATGTAGTTACTGGTAGCAGAGATGAAACAATCCATATTTATGACATGAAAAAAAAGAGAGAACATGGGGCATTGCTGCATCATAATGGTATGGGAACTTTTCTCTTAAGAGATATTAATTACATGATTTACTGACCCAGATGTTTCTGTTGCAGAGAACTGACCATTTTTAAGGGTGACTCAGTGGAGATATACTTGAAGTAGACTAAGGAATTATCAAATTTACAAAAATAAATGTGATTTATTTTAGAGAGTGAGGGATCAGACAGAATTCACAAGTGCATGCTACTACAGACAAGGACAATAGAGAGGCATTGGTGATTTAAATATGGTACATTTATTTTCATGAAGAAATACATAGTAAATAATCCAGTTTCATCTAACTCAGGGCTACTCAACACGCTGCCCGTGGTGAGATTTGGGTTTACCTGTGGCTCAACATGCAGCCTGCGGGTGAGAGTAGAAATAAAAAGAAATAGTCAATATAATGGTCTTCTGTTGATATGCATTTTAGTCCTGGACTGTCATTGCTAATTAAAAGTGCTGTCATATGGGTGGAAATCAGGTAAATATTGTGTTTTATTAATATCAGCAGAACTGACTTAAATAGGGCCTGCATGTTGTATGGTCTTGCCTTAATTTTTGTATTCATGCCCGTCAGTGTGAAAAAAGCTATTTGCATATATTTGCATGTATACACAACTGCACTTAAGTTGCAGCCCTTAGCATGTGCTGTGAGTATCATTGTGGCCCCTATGGCTTCCAAAGTTGTGTAGCCCTGATCTAACTAATAGAACAAAAGGCTGTCATATTTGGATGCTAGAGAGACAGGCTGTTCTTTCACAGCTATGAAGGTATTGCTGCATGTTTTATGCGTGTATTATTCTTGCAAATAATGTTATAATTCCTAGAAAGGTAGTATGTTAAAAAGTATCTGTGTTACAGCTGTGATGCAAAATAAAAACAATGTGTAAGTGACTTTCATTTTGCACTTCAAATATAGCTTCATATCTTGTGATTTTATTGGATGTTATTCAATTAAGTTTTAAAGTATTAGCATGTCTTTAAGTGAGTATCTTCAAATTTTATATAAAACTTTTTGTGTGGTATTTTTATTCAAGATGTCATAATGTAGATTAACAGTGGTGATCTTTATCTGTAGGCACGGTAACTTGCATAGAGTTCTATGGCAATGCACACTTACTGAGTGGAGCAGAAGATGGATTAATTTGTGTTTGGGACACAAAGAGATGGGAATGTCTGAAATCCCTTAAAGCACATAAGTGAGTCTTTTGAACCTACTTCTTTTTAGATATTTTTGGCTATGTGACATAGAAAATATGTGATTAACATTTTTATTGACTTTTTAGGGGGCATGTGACATCTCTTTCCATTCACCCTTCTGGAAAATTAGCTTTATCAGTAGGAACAGACAAAACATTAAGGTGAGTCAAAACTAGCTGAAAATCTTGCTTTACTAAGGTCTCATCTTATTGAATTATAAACAAGGGTTATATAATGGGGATAGATTATAAAGCAAAGATCAGAGAAACATCTGCGACACTGCTGTCCGTTAAACTACATAAGGGCTCATCTAGACTACGGGGAATGGTCGAAAGAAGATATGCCAATTCCCACAGGAATTTGCATATCTTCTGATCGCACTTTCGAAAGCAGAGCTTTTGAAAGTGAAAGTAGTTAAGACGTGGCTTTTTGGGCAAACCTCCCCTTTGTCGAAAAGCCACATAAACCTCCTTTTTTGAGGAAGAGTGATTATGGTTGGGATATGGCTCACTCTAGAGAGAGTACATCTGTGGCTTAGCCTACACATATATTAGGTCAGTGTAGCTGTCAACCACGGTTTTAAACAAAACCATATCCCTGACCAACATATCTATGCCAGTCTAATTGTCAGCGTAGATGCAGCCCTCTTCAATATACTAACCATTGTTTGGGAAGACGTGTTCCAACAATCTAGTCTGTATCAACATTAGGGGCTATGCTGACATAATTATGATAATGTGTATCTATTGCTGTAGTCTCTGTAATGTAGCTCTTCCTGGCACTTTGAAATTTCCTGTTAGCTCCTCTGAAATATTAGAGTTAATATTCATCCTATTGACTCTGTAGCATTCAAAACTGGCCTTTTAACATAAAGACATCAGGAAGCCCACATTTATTAAACTGCTAGATTGACATCTTTTCTTAGACTCAGGGCTGATGTCAGTTGCAGATGGGACAAGTCCCAAACTTTCAAGGAAGAATACAAAACTAAGGGATTGGTGTTGGGAGAAGGATTAGATGGCCTGCTCTAGACGAGAGTGCAGGCTATAACTTTTTTTAAAAATAGCAACAGTATTTAAAGTATTTCTTTTAAAGAACAGTTTTATACTTGTATCCCACCTTTCAGATTAATCACTGTTCTTTAATGATGTGTAGACACTAAGATATGTCTACACAGCAACCTTATTTCAAAATAACTTAGTCCACATTTATACAGCAGGCAATTATATTGAAATAATGTTAAAATACTGTCAAGCTGGCAGACGTCTTACTCCAACTCCTGAAACCTTCATTGTACAAGGAGCAAGGGAAGTTGGAGGAAGAGAGCTCTGTTTTGAAATAAGTGCTGTATAGGTGCTCCCAATTTCGAAATAAGCTACGCAATTGATGTAGCTCAATTTGTGTAGCTTATTTTGAGTTAAGCCCTGCTGTGTAGATGCACCCCTAACACGTCATTTAAACTGTCATGCATATATTATATAATAAAATCAGACTTTCATTTTTTTTAAATGCTGTCATCTTTCTGACTGAGGACAACATGAATGTTTCATTTGGGTACATGTGCAAGTGTGATATACATGTGTAATTTTCAAATAAGCGTAAATGAATGTTAAACTACTTCCAGGCTGTAAAGTAGGTAGTAAATACAGTAGTGGTTTATAAAATAAGTGCTGGCACTTGTTTAGCAATCAGATAACTCAGGGTTACAAACCGCATGTCAAATATTTAATTCCTCTAGTTTTACAGAACAGTGTAATGCTGTGAGCTACTTTAAATGTTTATTTTCAGCACCTATGATCAGTAAATGGTACTTATTTCTATGTGCTATCAAAAGTGATATATATTCAATCACGGCTGGGTATTTTACAGAACATGGAATCTTGTAGAAGGACGATCTTCCTTCATCAAAAATCTGAAGCAGAGTGAGTGTATCAGTTTAATCTGCAAAATATTTATTTAGCCTAAATTAGACGAGTTGCTTTTGCATATGTGCATGTTTGTTTAAAAGGTACATTAGGGTAGCCTTTGACTTGCAAATGTTGGACTTTTTAATTAATTCACTGTGCTAAACCTTTTACTAAAGATTGAAATCCGTACAGGCAGTCCCCGGGTTACATGGATCCGATTTGCATCGGATCTCTACTTACAAACTGGGTGAGGCAACCCCGCACTAGCTGCTTCACCCCAGCAGACCAGGGAGACGCGGAGCGGCTTTTCTCAGCAGACACCTGAGCTTGAGAATAAAGGACTGAGGGAAGTGAGGTGTGGGAGAATAAAACTGAGCTCTGGAGAAATGTTTGGCTAGAGTTTCCCCTACAATATGTACCAGTTCCGACTTACATACAAATTCAACTTAAGAACAAACCTACAGTCCCTATCTTGTACGTAACCCGGGGACTGCCTGTACAGAAATTGCCATGAGCATCTTATAGTAAAATTTTGTATCTCTTTTAATTAAAATACTTTAGATTATCAAAACTGAAAAAATAAAAAAAGTTTACTATTTATTCTATTAACAGTAATAGTACTATTTGTTTTACTTGCTTATTTTCTGCATTTATCTAATCTTGGACATTGAAAATAGACTAAACAGTTTCTGAAGATATTTCACTTTTAGATTCTTATGCACTAATAAGAATTTGGCATGCAATGACTACAAAAGAATGCTTGTTTTAAAATATAAGTCTTTATTGGAAGTTTCTATTTTTAGTTCTTTGGAACATTGTCTTTTGGTAGGGATTTGTAAAAGCTTGTTTTTACAAAACCCAAATGTTGGGACTTAACACCATCTTTTGGCTTTTAATGGATTTATTCCAACAGATATGAAGATTTGATATGATTTTCCCTTTTGGGTGGTAATATACATCCCCTGTCCCACAAACATAAATGCATATGCTTACATTTACTATTATAAATATAATTTAAGTCAACAGTACTACTCCTGAAATAAATTAAGAATGAGCATAAACATTTGCAGGATTGGGATCATTTGCAATGCATATTAAAAGAGTGAGGATGTCAAGAATGAAATGAAGAGTTTTTAAATCCTTATTAAGTCAAAGTGTATGTTCTTTCTTGTTTTTACTCAAAATTGTTCAGATGCACACATAGTTAAATGGTCTCCCAGTGGAGAGAAGTATGTGGTGGTCGTAACTAATAAAGTGGATGTCTACAAACTTGAAACAGCATCTGTCAGTGGTACCATCACAACTGAGAAGAGAATTTCTTCAGTTAGATTTATAACAGTAAGTACAAAAAAGGAGAGGATGTAAAGTTAACTTGTTTGAATTATTTGAATTACTTTAGCCCAGTGTTTCCCAGCCTGTGATCCATGGACCCCTGGTGGTCCATGACCGTACTATAGGAGGTCTGCGGAAGGTTGGGAGCTGAGAGGCTCTGTGCTGGCAGCCAGCAAGTCCCTCAGGCCCATGCTGCTTCCTGAGCTGTGGGAAATGACACAGGTGAAAGAACGTGCTGGCTGCTGACACGGAGGCTCTCCGCTCAGCTGAGAGTCTCCATGCTAGCAACCAGCAAGTCTCTCAGCCCGCGCTGCTTCCAGAGAAAACTGAGGGGTGTGGCTCGGGAAGCAATGGGAGCTGAGAGATGTGCGGCTGCAGGCACAGCTATATAGTTTGGGGGGAGTATGTAAAATGTTAATAGATTGAAAAGGGTCCGTATGTTGGAAAAGGTTGGGAACCACTCTGTTAGCCTCATCTGCATTTTTTTTTCTTGAGGATTCTGTCCTTGCTATTGCTGGAGATGATGAAATTGTAAGACTGTACGACTGTGACTCACAAAAGTGCCTATGTGAATTTAAAGCTCATGAAAACAGGTATTTTATATTTGTCCTGTTACATTGTTTTTAAATGTATAGCAGTGCTGAATACACTCAGTTGCCTGTTTAGTGGCAGCATTCAGTATATATTGGCTTTTTACAGTTTATTTTTATTCTTAAAATAGAAAGTAAACTGCCTTGTTTCTGATGTACTGAGTTGCAAATTCAACATAAATGTGTGCATTTGCACTGAGTGTAAGTGTGCACCTATTTTTATATGAAACATAAAGTGATCATAGTATGAGATTTATTTTAATATCTCACCACTGGATAATTTTGAGAATCAGATGATCTAGATGGATCCACCTCAATCTCTTGTCAGGTAAAGTGGATCATCCTCTAACTGTATAAAAATCTGGGCGGATGGAGAGCAAAATGAGAAATATTCATACAACATTTTTTATATATGTTAAATACATCAGGTTAAGTTATGTGCATGTGATTTTAAATTGTCATGTCAATATTTTTCCACAAAAGAATGCGTTTACATCTTTTGTAGATGTATTCTAAAGAGAAATGGATTTATACCTCCAGATTCTGATTTTTGCATGGCATAATTACCCATTTTGCCCCATCAATGAGCCTTAAATCAGATCAGTTCACGAGGAACTACTTTTTAAGAATCAGAGGGGTAGCCGTGTTAGTCTGAATCTGCAAAAGCGACGAGGAGTCCTGTGGCACCTTATAGACTAACTGAAGTGTAGGAGCATAAGCTTTCGTGGGCAAAGACCCACTTCGTCAGATGCATGTAGTGGAAATTTCCAGAGGCAGGAATAAATATGCAGGCCAGGATCAGGCTGGAGATGACCAGGTGGATCCAATCAAGGAGGATGAGGCCCACTTCTAGCAGCTGATCTGGAGGTGTGAATTCCAAGATTTTTAAGAGTGATAAGGATTTCAAATTCCATTTCCAGTTAATCTTTGGCACCAGGGCTCCAATTGGTGACTAACCTTTTGTTTTCTTGTTCTGCAAAAATCTCGGCTTATTCTTTTTGTTTGTTTTTAATTAAAAATTTCAAGTCCTTAAGGTTGAGGAGAGAACTTTGAAAACAGGTGACAAGTGTAAACCATTGCAGATATGTTTGCTTGCCTCAGTAGAAAACTAGAGGTCATTGCTCTGAGATGTGTGAACTGCTCTGTTCATCTAAATGGCTTAGCTCAGATGCCCAATGATAATAATTTAATTATCTATTGTTCAATACTTCACTGATGATCAAAGCATGTCAGAAAGCAAAGGGACGTGTGTTTGAAATATGGATTGCCAAAAGAGAATGGAGACAATGGAAAAAGAGGTGGAACAAATTGCATTGGAAGAATGTGCTTCTGTTCTAAAACACAGGGAGTATGTTTACAGTCCATGTGGGAGTGAGCCTTGCAGCTCAGGTCCACAGACCTGTGACGGTGGGACTTGAACTAGCACACTAAACATAACAGTGTAGGGCAGTAGTCTCTAACCTTTTTAAACACAACATCACTTTTTGAATTTAAGTGCAATCCAAGATCTACTTCAAACCCAAATATCCTTGCCCCACCTCCTTTGTGTTCCTTGCCCCCTCCCCCCCGAAGTCCCACTCCTGCTTACTCCATCCTCCCTCCCTCCTCCATCCTCACTCGCTTTCACCAGACTGGGGCAGAGGGCTGAGGTACAGGTTTTGGTCTTGGGTTAAGGGATTTAGAGTGAAAGAGGCTCTGAGTTGAATCCACACAATCACTGACTAACAGGCTGTAACCAAGTTACAATCTTGCACTGGTGTCCAAATGGACGCCCTTGTAAAACAGCACAGTTGAACTCCATCTGGGACAATGAAAAGAACCCTGTATGTACTCCTTTATCATTTAAAAAAACCTCTAGTATTCTGTCCCAATTTAGGTGCCAATTCAGCAAAGCACTTAATCATATGTTAAAGAGCTATTGCTTAAAGTTAAGCACTTATGTGTTTTCCTTAATCAGGATTGACACAGCCCTCAACATGCTTTTTTTCAAATATTGAAATTTTTTTCATATATTGGTCCAAATGGAAGAATACGAAACAGATTAGTCCTGTACATGAGCTGTATCGTATGTGCCTAAATAAAAAATATTCACATGAAGCAACTATGGGGCTGTGTCTACACTGGCATGATTTTGCACAAATACTTTTAACGCAAGAGTTTTTGCGTTAAAGTATTTGCACAAGAGAGCGTCTATACTGGCATGTGCCTGGCATGTAGATGCTTTCTTGCTCAAGAAATTAACGTTGCCTGTCTACACTGGCCTCTTGTGCAAGAGAGCTTATTCCTGAGCTGGAGCGTCATAGTTCTTGTACAAGAAGCACTGATTTCTTACATTAGAACGTCAGTGTTCTTGCACAAGAACTCGCAGCCAGTGTAGACAGGCGGCAAGTTTTGCATAAAAACGGCCGCTTTTGCGCAAAATCTTGCCAATGTAGACACAGCCTGGGTGTAAAATCCTGTTTAATTAGTTAACTGGTTAAGCAGGGGGCGGGGAGCAATCCAGCTGGGTTGGAGCAGTTCCCCTGTCCACAGTAGTGGGAGCCGCTCCAGCCCAGCCACTGTGGACAGACACTGCTCTGACTGGGCTGGAGAGCTCCCCCGCCCCCTCCATTCGTGGTAGGCCCTATGGGGATGGAGCAGTCTCTTGCCTGTGGCAGGGGGGGGACTGCTCCAGCCCCCACCAGTTAACCATTAACATCCCTAGAAGCAACCATAGTTTGTGTAGAATGTTCTTTCTTCACTTTTAATTTCTGACAACTTCTTACTGTTTGCCCTTCTTGTTTGAAGCTTCCTCACATATTAAGTAATCAGGTATTATATTTTGTTCTAGAATAAAAGACATCTACAGTTTTGAAAAAGAAGGAATACAGGTTATTGTTACTGCATCCAGTGATGGATACATTAAATTGTGGAGTCTTGAACTTGATAAGGTTAGTACATTAATAACTCATGGAAAAATTCTGGAGAACTAATTTGCAGGTGAACATTAGGTTTTTAAAAAGTATGCGTTTCCAAATTGTTTTTAAATAATTGAATAAACCTGTTTGCAAACTAGAAATCATGAATTTCCTCCACACCATGTATATCAGCAAATTTATATATATATGCATTTACATCTTTGGCTGTCAGTTCCTCTTACCATCATTTTAAAAACTTGTAAGTTTTGGTTGTGATTTAAAAAAACTATTTTTAAATGGCATGGCAGCTAACAGTGTTAGTTTGGCTTCAGCCAGAGACCAGAGCTGGCACATGGTGGTTTTACTGCAGGAAAAACCAAGTAACAAAGTGCAGCTATCCTCAATATGTTTATGTAATGGGTGTGTTGCGCGCCTTCTTCCTCCTAGCTCTCTGTGTGGTCAGACATCCCAAAGCACAATACTTTGTGGGCTGCTATAGCTGTTCTCTATGTCCTCAGGGTGCACTTTTTCTTGATGAGATATTATGGAATGCTTGCCCAGATTTTTCCAGAGCACACTGATAACAAACACAGTTAAGCAGTATGGTAGATATAGATGCACAAACATGGTTGTGATTGCAGAAAAACTGCTGTGTGCACATTAAACTGAACCGTGTTACTTGTAACCAGTTGAGGAAACAAATGGGCTGAGGTATGTTCTAGGGATGTTAGATGACATTTATTTTAGTAATAGGGATGTAAGTGACTAGTTGAATATCTGATAAACAAATGCTGATCGGATAGTGGACTAGTGACTTGACTAGTCGCTTCCCCCCTCCCTCCTTGTTGCCTCTATCAGAGGGTATGTCTACACTACCCCGCTAGTTCGAACTAGCGGGGTAGTGTAGACATACCCTACTTGCTAATGAAGCCCGGGATTTGAATTTCCCGGGCTTCATTAGCATAAGCGGGGAGCTGCCATTTTTAAATCCCTGCTGCTTTGAACCCCGTGTAGCGCGGCTACACGGGGCTCGAACTAGGTAGTTCGGACTAGGGTGCCTATTCCGAACTACCGGTACACCTCGTTTCACGAGGAGTAACGGTAGTTCGGAA